ATGGATGGTCATTTCCCCTGCCATCACCAATCCTTCTATGACACAGCTGGTCATTCTGTGAGATTTCCTGCCTGTCAACACTTCACCATTTCCAGGTCTTTAAGCAAACTTAAATGTGGTGGATTCTCTGTATGAATAATGGAGTATTTTCATGGACCTTGGCAATCACAGATTGGAATCAAACTTGGATCAAGACCCTGATTGTTTAGCATTCAGTGAAATGAGCCTAACAGAGCAGTCATCTGTTACAGAAAAGCATTGGGTTCATGAAAGGTGTATGTATGTGTGTGTGTGCATGTGTCTGTATGCATGACTCTGTGTGTTTATGTCTCTATGTGTATCTCTCTGTGTGTATCTGTCAATCTTTATCTCTCTGTCTCTCTCTTTCTGTGTGTGCGTGTCTGGCCAGCTGTTCATCTCTCTCTGGCTGTGTCTCTGTTTCTGTGTCTCTGTCTCTCTGTGTGTGTGTGTATTTGTATGTGTATGTCTGTGTGAGTGTGTGTGTGTCTGTTCGTCTGTCCATGTCTCTCTGTCTGTGTCTCTGTTTCTGTGTGTGTGTGTAATGTGGAGGCCAGCAGAAGTCACTGTTGGTTCTTGTTAAATTATGTCACTGGCCAGGAAGCCCCAGGGTGACTCACATCTACACATGCTCAGCGCTGCGCTGGGTTTGGGAATGTATACTACCATACCTGGCTTTTTATGCAAGTATTGAGAGGGTCCAAACGCAGTCCTTAGGCTTGCACAGCAAGCCCTTTCCCCTCCCTCACCCTTCTCTCACATCACCCTGAAGTCTTTCCCTGAAAGTGTCAGTGAGCATCTGAAGTGTGAAGCTTTATCCTTTTTGTTTCTTAATGGAACTCATTTAGAAGATTTTTAGTATCCAGATTCGGTTTCTTGAACATGTATACTTGTTTTGATATTGTAGTATAAATTATAACCTAGCGAATCCTTTCCTGTTTCTGAACTGTTCCTTTCCTTGATTGTTATCCCGGGGAACAGGACTAAGATGAAGATGGACCTGTTGCTTACACTGTTAGGACTCAAGTAAGATTAAACACCCGGGTGTTAACACAGGAGTACCTTTTTTTCCCCCCTGGGGGCAGTTTGGTTAGAATTTATAGGCTGCTTTTAAGATTATAAAATGGCTTTGGGAAGTAGCCACTAGCCACATCAGAATACCCCAACTTTCCTGGAGCAACAGAACAAACACCCCCACACATTGGCACATGTTGGTCTAAAGTGCAGGCCTTTTTATAGCAATGCAGAGGCATGAATATTAAATTATTGGGCCATATTTTTGCCAGATTTTGACTGCTGCTGAATTTTGGGTTCAGAAGAAACCCCAATCTCTGCCAAGCCCTGGGGCTGGAGAGTGCAAAGGAGTAGCCATATCCATGTTATCTAAGACTCTGCCGACAGATATCTGGGCAGGATAGTGGGCGGGGAAGATGGCCAGCTAAGAGGAAGGCTGCCAGGAAGCAGAGACATCAAAAGCCAAGGTCAGAAAATCTCCCCAGGGCTGGAGGACCCCGTGCTCCTGGGTCCCACTCAGCAATCCTTTCTGGTGTCTACCCATCAGGCTCAGTTCTTGCCTCCCTTTGCAGGGAGAGGCTGATGGATGTACAGGGCTGTGTCATACCATTCTGACTTGAAAAGCAAATGGTGAAGCCTGTGTATATAGTTGAACTGGGAACAAAGTTGTTTGTGCTAAGTTCACAAATGTCACAAATGTGACACAGGGCTCAGAATCTACTCCTCAGCTTTTTTTTTTTTAAATATCCCTGGGGCATGTGTGTTTGTGACTGTGAGTGTTTGTGTGTGTGTGTGTGTGTGATTCACATATATATGAGTGTATGTATGCAGTGTGTATCTCTGTATATTGTGTGTGTCATGTGTGTTGTAGAGTGTGTGTACTGTCGAGTGTAAGTGTATATGTGTGCATGTGAGTGTTTATGTGTGCATATATGCAGTGTGTATCTCTGTGTGTCATGTGTGTGTCATGTGTGTTGTAGAGTGTGTGTACTGTTGAGTGTAAGTGTGTGTGTGTGTGCATATTATTCGAGGGGCACTTTTGGACTTCTATGTAGAATGAGGTCCATATTTTACCCCCCCCCTGTGAATCATTTATCCGAAAGCTTCAATCTTTTTAGAGCCTTTCCTCTCATAAAATGAAGCAGCAGAATGGTTGGGTTATGTTGCTTTCCTCATTTTTATACAGCGCTGACCTAGAGAAGAATGTTCTGCTAGAAGAAAGGGCGTGCACCCTTCTTATCGCTAGCATTTAAAGGCTTTCCCCCACTTAAAATCGATCTCAATTAACTTTGATTTCTTTCTTTAGAAAACCATGTGTTGAAATTATACTTTGCCAGATGTGAGAGGCTTCCTTTCCGCTTGCACACGCTTAGCCCTCATTTCAGCTGGGGTACTCTTGAGAGTAAAAATTTTAAGTTACTGTTTCTTTTGTTGCTTCTCAAGACCTCTATTTTTTAATATGCAGCCTCTCATCTTGCCTGTCCCTTCTGTGTAACCTGGGTTTTTTTTTTGCCAGTTTCTGATGTAAATCACTAATTTATTCATGAGTCTTCTCATCAGAGAGCCAAAGGTAACATTACACAGTATGCTATTCTCCACACGTTTTGCTTGAGTCCTTCTGCCCAGCGACGAGTGGACACAGCCTTGCTTTCTGTTTTGAGTGTGCAAACCATCTACGTGATCATAGCGGAGGCAGAGGAGGGACCTGCCCATAAAAAAGTTCAAGGTGTATTAGCCCAGCTTCAGTAGTTTATTGGACTTTGGAGGACTTATTAGATCCTGCAGCTCTGAGATTAGAGTCCTTAACTCATACATCCAATGGGACAGGAAAGACTGGCTTATAATTCGCACTCCTTAACATCTAGGATGCCACTTCCTGGGCTGCACCTGCACGACCTGTGGATATGGTTGTGTGGCATAGGTAAGAAATCCACGGCGCTGTGTGCTTACCTCTGGTTCTCTGACTGACATGACACACCATTCAGTTTCTGTTTAAACTCCAGCCATGGTCTTTCCCAAAGTGGTGCAGAGCTGCCACGGGCTGAAGCCAAGGGCAAGCTTTATTTGTGTGTATTAAGAGGCAGGCAAGAGAACTCCTTCTCAGGCTTCTTAGGCACTGACTCAGCAGAGCCAGTCAGACCAGGAAGCCATGTGGGAAACAGAGAGATTCTTGGTCCTCAGGGAGGAGACGGAGCACTGAAATACACACGGAATGAGCCCGGGTAGACGGGAGGTACTCGAGAGAAGTTGTGGTTTTTTTTTTTTTTTTTGGTTTTTCGAGACAGGGTTTCTCTGTGTAGCCCTGGCTGTCCTGGAACTCCCTCTGTAGACCAGGCTGGCCTCGAACTCAGAAATCCGCCTGCCTCTGCCTCCCAAGTGCTGGGATTAAAGGCATGCGCCACCACTGCCCGGCAGAAGTTGTGGTTTTATTTGTCTGGTGGGACTTCATCTTCAATAGGGAGCTGTGTAAAACTCCCCTACTGACAGAGTGACAGATCTACTCACTTTAAGATCCACCCGAAGAATGAGAACAGGGTCCCAATGTGGACACATTTCCCAGTGAGACCAAGAGTCGGCAAACAGGTGTGGCAACACACAAGTGTGCACTTTCACAAGGTTCCTAGCTTGCCTTGACCAGCTCTCCCACAGTTAGCTCAGCGCCACTGGTCCTGGATCATGATGAGAAAGGTTTTGGTGGGCTTTTCCCCACCTCTCCGCTGGCTCCAAGTTCAATTTAAAGAAATACCCAGAGCTAGGGAGATGGCCACGTGGCCAAAGTGCTATTCATAGAAACATAAAGACCTGAATTCATATTTCTAGCACCCATGTAAAATCAAGACACGACAGTATACACCTGTAATCTCTGCACTGCAAGGCAGAGACAGGAACATTCTGGGCTGCTCACTCACTAAGAAATCAAACTAACTAGTAAACTCTGCATTCAGGAAGAGTACCTGGCTCAAAATTAAGATGAAGAACAGTTTAGAAAGATACCTTCCATCAACCTGTGGTGTCTACATGTGTGCTTGTGTGTGTGTGCGTGCGGGCATGGAGGGACATTTTTCCTGTTCTAGAAACTAGAATCAGATTGTTTCATAATTGCATGTGGTAGCTATACAATGTATCAATCAAGTAGTTGAAATTTCTAAGTCAAGTCTGCCTTGTCTGGTTTGCTTATAGACTTTAAACAAAATGTGGGCTTACCACCTGCTTAAGCAGAGAAGAATGTCCCCATTGGGACAATTTTCTGTTTTTTTTCTCACAAAATAATAAAAATATCAGCGAGGGATCGGAGGAGACTGCACAAGCTAGCTCTTTACTGGTCTAGATCTTTTAAACATTCCGGTATTTGGAGGCATCTGGGTAATTCACAGCTTTTTTTTTTTTCTTCATTTACCATCCAGATGTTCACCATCATGGAAGCATTGTGTGAAACCCTATTCAGCTAATAACGTAGAGTGGAAAAATCCTCCTTTGGTGTCGCGTCTCCCTTCACTCTTCCGAGGACCTCTACCTCAGAGGCTCCTGGAGCACGGGGGGTCCCACCAGATGCCTAGGTGTCAGCCCTCACAGTTCTTTTTCTAATCCCCGTGACTGTTCTGCGCTCTTGTCTGCTTGAATTATAGATTGCATTTGTCAAATAATGACACATGCAATTGGATGTCTTCTAAGACCTTTGAAATTCAACTTCCTTGTGTTGAGATTAAAGAGGGTACTGTCTGCCCCAGCACAGTCCGGGCTAGGGTGCTGGAAACCTGCAGCTAAACATTTCTAGGCTGGGCAGCTCCAACTTCTGCCGTGTGTGAGGAAGAAAACAAAGAAACTTTGTTTTCTCCTTTCTGCTGGGGAGAAAGGCAAGCCTTTTTAGCTATGTAAAGTGTGGTTCCCTAAGTATTGGAAATGACTCTCAGCACCATGCCGCTGTCCTCTGGGATGACCTCAGTCTGCATTTCTGTTTCTTCGTCCAGGAGGCCTTGTCAGTCGTGAGTGAGGACCAGTCACTATTTGAGTGTGCCTACGGAACACCACACCTGGCTAAGACAGAGATGACCGCATCCTCTTCCAGTGACTATGGCCAGACATCCAAGATGAGTCCCAGAGTCCCTCAGCAGGACTGGCTGTCTCAACCCCCGGCCAGGGTCACCATCAAGATGGAGTGCAACCCTAGTCAGGTGAACGGTTCCAGGTAAGCAATGCTGACCCTGCCTGTCCCAGACCTCCATTCTTCCCGTCTGCTGAGAAGGGTAGCTTCTTTGCTCTGCTTCAAAGACTCTTAGAGATCAAGGCCACTAACTGGTAACATGGGGGCACTTCTAGGAAAACTTAACACTCCAGTGGTTTGGGCTGAGGACAGAAGCTGCAAAACCAGTAGTGTATTTACCAAGAACTGCCTTTGAAGACCCACTGCTCAATTCTGTTTCTCAGGCGCAAGGGCTGGTTGGGAGGGGGACTTGCTCACTGATGGCAGAGCTCATTTCTGGAGTTTTATTTGCCTGGAAAAGACTGTGGTCCTATGTTTCTATGGAGACAGCACTATCAGCAAGTGGTCAGCCAGTGTAGCATCTGACTGAGCCACTTGACTTTGCTTACGGGTCCCCCATGTATGCATACACAGTCTCAGCCTGCTGTCCCTGCTGTTGCTGGCCCCTCTTAATGCACGTCACTCTTGTCTCCATTTAAGCCTCTCAAATCTCCCATAGCTGCTGTTTCTTGAGTTTTCCGTGGGAGTGTGGCTGGCACTTGGGATATTTACCACACCATGATCTCTGTCAATCCAAAGCCTTTCATTACACAGAAGTTTGAAAAGAAGCACAAGGGATAGGGAGATCGCTCAGTGGGTGAAGCGTTGAGCGCTGGATCATGAGGACTTCAGTTCTAATCCCCTGAACCTGCATAAAACTGGGGATAGTAGCCTATGCCTATAACAGAAGTTCCCCTGCAAGGAGATGTGATGCACACACCCTGGTGCCTGTGGGCCAGCTTGTTTGACATAAGCACTGCCAAAATACAAGAAGACTCTGTCTCAAATAAGCTGCAAGGTGAAGGTGAACTCTTACAGCATCCTGAGGAGGAGGAAGGGTGAAGGGATGGGGATGGGGAAGGGGAGGGAAAGGGAAGGAGGGAGGGAGAGGAAGAGAGAGATGGGGAGAGAGAGAAGTGGGTAGTATCATTCATTTCTATACTATTCCATATATACCCAGGGAAATGATGTAAATCCCTGAGACAAAGACAGGCTGTGTTATTTTAAATGTCCTACAATCTCCATATATACACACAGTTTAAGAACAGTTTCTACTTTCTTGCGCTTCACGAATACAAAGCTCCTTTATACACGGTAGATCACTGATCCCCAGATCACCACTAAGGGGAAGGCCTGTTCTCATTGGATGGACGAGGAAGCCTCCGAGCAGGCACTGATTGGCTGGCCAGCCCAGACACCACTTAAAAGGACTCAGAATTTGGATGAAAACCAAGATCTCGACTTCCAGAACACTTTTCACCCTGCGGCTATGAGAGGGTCTCTTTGTTACATGTGTGTCTCAATGCTAAATATGTTTAAAGCGTTGCGTTCTTAAGTGCTGGAAATCATTGCGTCAGCTGCTAGCGTGTGATTAACACAGGTGTCAATCACAGCACTTCCAAGGAACTCTTAGCGGCACTGTTGCTGGGCTGTGGGGAAGGTGGGCAGTCCTCAGCTGGCCTGTGCCTAGAGAAGGTGGTCATTTCTGTGTGTCTGGCTTTCATCCACGCTTGACGTTTTATTTGTTTGCTTGGTTAGTTGCTTTTTGTTTGCAATTTTTTGAGACATAATTCAGGCTGGCCTTGAACTCAGGATCTTCCTGTTTCTGGCTTCTAGGTACTGAGAATGTGGGTTGTACACCCACACTAAGAATGCTGGAGTAGAGGCAAGGGTTAGGAATGCCCATCACCCACTGAGAGCCTCAGCATTCAGGAGCTGAGAACTGGGCATGGCTCACCTGCAGATGAGCAACAACAGGAAGGCTCTGTGATTGGCTGTGTTGCTTTCCTGTATCCTTCATGTCTGCCAAGGACTTCACTCATCTCCTGGTCTCCAGCTCAGTGGCTTCTCCTAACTGCTTCTAACCTGGGCTTACATGGAGTAGTCTCCCTGTAGTCAGTCTGTCTGTCTGTCTGTCTGTCTGTCTGTCTGTCTGTCTGTCTCTCTCTCTCTCTCTCTCTCTCTCTCTTGCTCTCGCTCTCTCGCTCTCTCACTCTCTGTCTGTCTCTCACTGTCTCTTTCTCTCCCCCCTCTGTCTCTCTCTCTCTTTTTCTCTCTCTGTCTCTCGCTCTCTGTCTCTGTCTCACTCTCTCTGTTTCTTTCTCTCTCCCCCTTCTCTCCCCCCCTCTCTCTCTCTCTCTCTCTCTCTCTCTCTCTCTCTCTCTCTCTCTCTCTCTCACACACACACACACACACACACACACACACACACATCTACCCTTTGAAGCCAAGTTCAAAAGCTATTGCAAATTGCCTAGGACCTGCTGATGAAGTGGCTTCATGCGAGAGTTGCATTTTATAGCCTTGTTCTTGCCAGAGCAAAGCCCACCTCTATCCCCATGGGGCAGAGCTCTCGGCTCTGGCTTTCTTGGTCCATCCCTAGCCATCCATCAGTCACTGCATAGGAACCAGCAGAGGGGAGGCAGGATAGATGGATGGTGTGGTGGGATTCTATTGAACCTCAGGCTCTCCGTGCTCACAACCTTCTGAAATAAGACTCGTGTCAGGGTGAGCAGTGTAGCCGTTCACATTGTTTCTATAAAACATAATAAATGGATGGCAGAGAGAAAGGAGTTACAACTGTGGGAGCTGGCGGGGAAGTCCCTGTGGGTTTGGCTTGCCCGTCAGGATGCTCGAAGACAGAAGCTAAGTTTAAGTTGTCCTGTATACACTGGCTATCGCTTCCCAGCCTCAGGGTTCAGTGGTAACCCTGTCTCTCCCCCTTCTTCTTTCAGACCTCTCTCCTAGGAAGCCCCCTGGGGTTTGCAAGGTGGGAGCCTGGTGGTGTACAAAACTGAAACCAGCTCCTAGCACTGTACACAAAAGGTCTATCAGTGCGCCAGTCTCTCCTAGCTGCCAGCCTCCCACAATTGCAGTGAGGTCTCCATGCCTCCCTCTAGGCTGGCCATCGAGGCCAGAGATAGGGTACCCTAAGGCGTGGCCACACCAACTGCCTACCATTGCCAGGTGCTGGGGCTCTACCCAGCAGGCTGTGTTCCTTGGCTCTGCACCCCTGGTCCAGGCAGCCAGATCCAACAGCTGCTGTGGGCAGTGCCTTCCTGCCACCTGCGATGGCATTTCTTCTGCTTTTCTGCCTTTATTTTAAAATTCATAGAAATGTGTATTACATATTGAGCACATACCCCAGATACCCCCTCACCCCTTTTCTTGGCCCTCCACACTTGTTTACCAATCTGGACAACTATGGCCTATGTGCACGCATGGTTTTATGTGTTCCTACAAAATCTGTAAGAACCACGCATGACAGAGAACATGAAATCTGTCTTTCTGAGAAAGACTCGTTCACTTACTATGATTATTTCCAATTATCTTATTTTTCTGCAAACTATATAATCTTGATCTTTTTATGGATTGAAAAATATTCCCTGTGTTTATATACCATACACCCTTGATGACGATCCTTGGTGGCCTGCCTAAGGACCCACAGATACTGGCATTTCATGAGCTGTGGTCCCAAGCTGGGTGCTCTACTCCCAGGCTTCTCCCCCAACCTCTTGGAGCCATGAACTCATTAATTTTGTCAGATGAGCGTCTCCTTGGGGTGGTGCTCTCAAAGTGAGGTCCTGAGCCAGGACCTGGGGACAAGAGCTCAGCCTTCAGAGATCCCCAGGCTCTGGAATCACAAGGGATGTGGGCTAAGTCTGCACAGCAGTCACAAGGAATATCACAGGGCACTCTGGTGTTCTGATGGCTGAGAGTGGTACCCACTCTGGGACACCATTGAGGGAGGGGAGAAATAAGAACCCAGTATCCAGATGCAGGGCCAGTGTGAGCTGGGTCAGCTCGGCAAGTAGAGGGGGTTATGCTGGAGGTCTGTCTGTCCCCCTGCACAGGGCAGCAACACTTGTAACTCACCCCAAGGACTCTGTCAGGCTTGGCAGAGTCAAAGAAGTAAGGGATGATGTTCCCTGGACCTTGCCTCTTGGTGCAGCTTTGGAAGAGCAAAACCCACCTCCCTCCAGCCTGTGGTTGGATAGCAAGATGCTTTTGGTGCATTATTTTAAAGTATTTGTTTATTTAACTTGATATAGAGTCTTGTGTATCCAAAAGCTAGACTTTGTGTGATGTAGCTAAGGGTGACCCTGAACTCTTGCTGTTTCTGCTTCTACCTTCAAAGTGGCTGGGATTATAAGAAGTACCACTACACTTGATTTCTGAAGTATTGGGAACTGAACCTAGCACCTCAAGCATGTTAGGCAAGTAAGCTACCAACTGAGCTACACCTCCTGCCTTGTGACTTTAGCAGTGTGCCCTGTGAAGTGTGGTAAAGGTCATCCGAAGAGGAGCGGGTCACTTGATTGGCCCTTTGACCTCAGACATGATGGTTACATTCAGCCAGTCATTCAGTGGAGTGTGTTAAGCACCTGCTATATACTCAGTCACTGTTCTAAAGAGGTAGCAATCAAATCCTTTGCTGTTGGCTTTCTAAGGGAAGATGGCCACCATTTGATCAGCTGACTTGTTAAAACACACAGCAGGGTAGATCAGATCAAACTCTAAGGAGAAAAGTAAGGCAGTTCCAGGCAAGGTGGCCCAACAGGTTACCTCTCAGAAAGTGACATTTGGTTAAAGACCCAATGACAGAGAAGGAGCTCTCTTGGTTACACAGTGGAGACCATCCCAGGTTAAGGGAATGCTCTGTGCAAAGGCCCTGTGGTCAGCCCAAGATACTCTAGGACCACAAGAGGGCTGTCCACATGTACTGACCAGGAGGAGAGGAGTAGGGGGACGTGAGTTTGCAGGACATGCCTGTGAAGAACATTGGCTTCACTGCAGAGCCAGCCCAGACGCTTGCAAGTGAGGGAGAGCTCTGAGTTATTCAGACTCCACAGGTCTCCCTGTTGTCTGTGCTGAGGCTGAGGACCTGATGCTATATGCAGAGGTCTGGGGTGTGCTGTCCTGGGGCTCTGCAGAGTAGAGTGGTG